TTGGTGCAGCAGGGATGGGGTTATCAATCACCCCAAAAATCCTCTGATTCTGAAGCAGGGCTTTCTTCTTTACAGACCATGAGGAATAATTGTCATTAGTCAGTGGAGGTGGGTAAGGTAAGCCTCCCCCCTTCTTGGTATCCATTTTGAATCCAAGCCTTAGCTCTCACTCTCGAGCCTGTAAAATCCAAGAGTCTATTGGGTTGTTTACTGCCTTGCACTTGGCAGCTAAACACAGGCAGCTCCGGAAAGTCCCTCCAAGAGCAGTGAGACAACAGACAAAACAAACGCTGGAATTTTTACCAGTGTTTTTTTTCCAGCCTTTTACAGTCCCAGCCTCTCTTCCATTGGCTAGTAAATTTCCACTTTCTTTCAAGCTAACTATCTCCGACGTAGCTGAAAAGATTGACGTCTCGTTGCTTAGCAACTGGACTTGGCTTTCCGGCTATAGCAAAGCTTATCAAGCCTCAGGAATGCGAAATATGCAGGCTGTTTCTCCGTGCTGTTTTCATCCAAAAGCAGACACTCAGTGAACCGAAGAATGCTTCAATTCGTGTTCACTCTCACAGCCATAAAATGACCATACCTTGAGGGAATCCGTTGCTTGTTTTATCAGCAAAAACGCCTGCTCCGGTGCTCAGCCGTCCTTTGTAGCTTCCATCCTCCCGCTACCACATTCTTTCTTTATCTCCTTGCAGAGGATGAAGTACGATCCATCAACCTCCTTTGCTGCTTTCATGGATCGATGCCATCGGCTCCGTGCTACCAGATGTTGGGAATCAAGCCTTTATCAGGAGAAATTGGCAACTCTCCAGGCACCTGGCTTGATCTCCTGTTGACCTCCCTGTCTGCATTCCCCAGCAGGATACAGGCTAGGTCGCGATAGGCGATTCTTCTCGGCGTGAGAAGAGCACACCCTCTCTTTCCTGCCCCCCCACCGGCAGGGGAAAGAGATAGACAGAAACGTATTTACATTCCTTTATTTCTGTCTTTGCAGCATTACAAAAGCATGACTGCTCTCTTCAAACTCCAGCAGTCGAGAGACAAACAAAACCTGTACTTCCTGTACAAGAGCAAAAGGAAGAGCTCATATTACACTCTAAGCTAATTCCGGTGCATTGCCCTGTGAATTGACTGTCCCTCTGTTTCCCACGGAACAGTTCTAACATTCCATCATGTGCTGTTTTCAAGCTAGCAGCTCACGGCTGCATTGCTTCTATATCGTAACAATACGTCAGTGGAGGAACAAAAATAAAATGAAACGTTAAAAAGGGAAGCACCATATTTTCAGTGGAATATTTATCTCACAATTACTGAATACAGCTTTCTCCTTGCTGCCATGTTGAAATGAAAAGAGCCACTGTAACCAAATGTTTGTGTGTGTGTGTGATGATAATTAATATTTATTTATTTATTTATAGAGTGCCTTATTTTATTTAGCAATAAATAAATATTTAAGTCAGTATGGGGGATGAAACAACCTCTTGTTACGATACTTAAAACTGTTGGGACACTGCCGGGGAGACAAAGTCCATCATGGCCCCCAAGTCGCCTCCAGACGTCCATCGATCTCCCATAGGCACGCAGTATCAGCAATTAGCGACATGAGCTCCAGAAATAGCCTGCCACATTCTCGAGCCGATGCACGCTCTATCAGCAGATAGTGCACAGCGAAAGTTGCACGCAGGAGAGCATTATTTACAAGTTTTATTCAGCGTTGATCAGAACAAAGAAAACATGACTGCCAGCTTCAGTGTCTCCAGACACAGAGAGAGCGAAAGCAAAGACACAACAGAAACATCCTGTGAAACAGGAAATAGGCAGGCTGTGTGACTCACAAAGCCTGCTCCCTTTTAAGGTGGAACGGAAATATCCTAACATCCTCCCCCTTTCCGTGTAACCTGTAGTACCTGTGGTTCAACCCAATTGCAACTTCTTTACATAGACCTTAAGTCGTTCTCTGTTAACAACCTTAGACAACAGATCAGCAGGAATTTCATTTCCTGGCATGTAGGACACCTGAATAAGTCCTTTCTCAATACACTCTCTTGCACGATGTAGCTTAATCTGCAAGTACTTGGTTCTTTGCTTGCAACTCTCTGAGTTCAGCAAAGCCAAACAGGATCTATTGTCTTGATACACTTGTACAAGGCATTTCACAGAAACTCTGATGTCCTTAAACAGTTGCATCAACCATTCACAATCCATAAGTGAAAATGACAGAGCATTGAGTTCTGCTTCACAGGTACTTAGGCTTACTGTCGTCTGCTTTTTGCACAGCCTGTCAAACAGACAGTGGTTGTACATGTAGCATACTCCAGAAGTGCTTGTACCATCCGTGGTGTCACTTCCAAAACTTGCATCTGCAAAGATTTCAAGACCTCCAGTCTTCTGACTGGTGAACCTCAGCCTGTAGTGCAAAGTCCCTTTCAAATAGCGGGCTATGCGCTTCAGAGCTTTCCAATCCTGAACAGTACGATTTTTAGCATGTCTGCTAAGCAGGTTAGTGCTTACAGCTATGTCAGGTCTTGAACATCTAGCAATGAAATTCAGCTTGCCTAGAATGCATCTGTACAGCGTAGTGTCAGAAAACGCTTCAGCAGTACTATCTACCTGGTAACCTGTCACCATCGGTGTGTCTGCTGGGTTTGCATCAACCAAATTCAACCTGGTTAATACATCAGCAATTTTCTGTGTTTGGTGTACCAGAAAATTACCTGCTGGGTCCCTCTCCACCTGCAGAGAAAGATAGTTGGATACCTCACCAAGATCCTTCATGTCAAAGTGCTCCTTCAGCTGAGCTAGGGTGCTTTGGTACAAAGCCTGATTCTTCCAAAACATCAGAAGATCATCAACAAAACATAAACAATACAGTTTGTTTTGCCCCTCCTCCTTGACAAACACACATGGATCAGCCTTGCCCTGGTGAAAACCTAGAGAAAGAAACGTCTCAGTGAGCTTTGTGTTCCAACACCTGGCACTCTGCTTGAGACCATATAAGGATTTCCGCAGTTTACAGACCATTCCCTTCTGTATCTGCATTCCATCAGGTGGAAGCATATACAGCTCCTCCCCCAAAATCCTGTACAAAAAAGCTGTATTAATGTCATGATGGAAAACATGCAGTTTCTCCTCTGCCGCAAGCTTGAGCATCAGCCGAATGCTCTCATATTTGACGGTGGGTGAGTAGGTCTCGTGGTAATCCTGTCCTGGTACCTGTGAAAAACCTCTGGCAACCAATCTGGCTTTGTGTCTGACAACCTTGCCATTCTGGTCTGTCTTGGCCTTGAAGACCCATTTGCTGCCAACCAGTCTCATCCCTGGGACTACCGGTACCAACTCCCAAGTTTGGTTCCTATTCAAGGAATCAACTTCAGCCTTCATGGCATTAAGCCAAGGCTCAGCATCTTTAGAGGTTAACTCCTGAACCTCTTTGAAGCTTGAAGGTTCCCACACCTTCTCTGAGCTACTAAGAACAGCAGTTGCTGTCTTAGCAAACTCATCAGCAAATCTCTTTGGAGGTCTGCCCTTTGTGGCTCTTTCAGATCTGCGTACTAGACACAAGTCTTCTGGACTCATCTCCTCCTTCTTAGGAGAAAAGTGACCAATGGTGAACAGTGGTTCTTCCAGTTCATTGTCAGACGCATCAGATGGTCTGACTGAGGCCTTTGCACTCTTGTAGTCTGCTGTGTCATCACTGACACCGACACCAGCAGCAGCGCTGCCCACTGAACTGGAATCCGAACTCTGATCATCATCATCCTCAGCTTCCTCAGCTTCCTTAGCATCATCTGCTTTTTTCACACCACCTTCATCTTCCTCTGGGTAACTCTGCAAAATTCCCACATTTTCCCCCCACTTAGGATTGTACTCAACACTCTTTGTGAACTTAATGGACTTAGAGTCAGTCATCCATACCCTGTATGCTCCTTTTTCGTACCCCATGAACAAACCATGTGCCCCACGCTTCCCAAGCTTGTTGCTCTGTGGGGTGTGTACCCACATGTCAGAACCAAAGATTCTCATGTGCTTGACGCAAGGTTTCTTACCAAACATCTTCTCGTAGGGGGTACAACCAATAGGTGATGACAGTCTGCGATTAAAACTGTAAACATAAGTCGACAGAGCCTCCCCCCAATACTTATCAGGGAGACTGGCATCATGCAACAAGGTTTTCATGCCTTGAAGCAATGTTTGCTTTGCTTGCTCACAAACCTCCCATGGGGTTCCAGGACTTGAGAGGCTATGCTGGATTCCCTTCTCAGTCAGGAAAGCTTCAAACTGCTGAGAAGTGAACTCCCCGCCCCGATCAGTAAAGAGGCAGCCGATACGTTTACTGTGAGCATTCTTCAACCAAGCACAGAATGCCTTGAACTTAGGAAACACTTGCGATTTCTGCTCGAGCATAAACACATGAATGTACCTGGAAAAAGAATCAATTAGAACCATGAAGTACCTTGCTCCACCCAAAGAGGGCGCAAGTGGACCTACCAGGTCTTGTTCTAACGAGGGGCCAAGATGGCGACGGAGGTAGCAGCCTAATTAGAGCCTCCGATTTCGACTAAGCGTTTTTATTAGTTTTAGCCTCTTCAAGACCCCAAAACTGCACCTTAAGGACCTTAAAGACTGTTGGCTGTCTGTCTTGTCGCCTCGTTTTAATTAGTTTATTCTTTTATTCTTTTATTGTTTTATTGTTTTATCGTCGCACTGTTTACTGATACTGCTACACTGACTTACAACCTTGGAGCTCCCGGACGACGGATTGGCTTGAAATACAACCAAAGAAGCAGAGGAAACCGCTGAACTCCATTGAGCCTAACCTCGATAAGATAAGCCCAAGAACTCCCCCATGAATACCCTCCCGCCCCAAGTTAAGGCTTAAAGAGGGAAAGGTAGGGAGGCTCCCTGATCCAACAGCCTGGACACCGGTTTTCCAAACTTTACCTCTACCTTTATTTCTACAATAAAGTGCCCAATAAGGGAAGCTTTTAACCTAGAGAATGGTGTTTACAAGACAGAGCTATAAAGAGCTGGGAATTCCCCTCATCAAAGCGGCTGAACCCTCTACAAGAGGAAGGCAGGTGAAAATCTCACAATATTTTAAACCGAAAACAGACAAAATAAATAATGCTGACAAACAACACCCCCACGAATGGTCCATAGACCGCACCAGGTACGGGGAGCTAATGGAAACAAACGAAGAAGGGGTGGGAGTCAATCTGGCAACGGAAATAAAACAAGTTACCATAGAAGATGAAACCTCAGTGAATCAACCGGGGCTGGAGCAGGAACAAGAGTCACAAGAGGAAAACCCAGTAATTAAGACAGATGAGCCCTCCCAGGGACCAGGGCCCGGGGAGAAGATGGGGTTTCACATTGTGACGAATGGGGACCTGGAGGACACAAGAGCCCAATATCTGGACTTGGAATGCCTCCCCTACATACTAACAGGGCTATATAATGATCTGTTAAATGAACAGAAGTTGCAGATAGGCAGAGAACTGGGACACATCAAAGACTTCCTCTCAGAATGCTTGGGCCTACTTACCACTTTGACTGAAATAACTAGGAGAATAGACAACTTGCATTCATATAAAATTCTCTCTAGCACACCAAACGATAACACCAGTAAGGAAAATAAAACCCGACATAATGTGGAAAAAAGGAAAACATCTAGGACCAAAGCAAACCAGAAGGGAAACTTAATTGACCCTAAGAAACCCCTCTTAAAGGGAAGTGCCCCAGGAATAAAGAGAAGAAGCCCAAGAACGTAAAAATGGGAAGGAAGACAAAGCTCCCATCTCGAACAAAGAAAATGAACCTCACAAGACTATTTAAGCTATTAGAAAATTCAAATCCAACGAACCCAGCTAACCCAGTCCTGCCACCCCTTGATAAAAGCCGAAGCCCAAGCCCAAATAAAAATCTCCATAAGGCTGGGCTTTTCAATTCAACAGAGGAACTCCATAAGGCTAGGCTTCATAATTCAACAGAGCAACTAGCGCTCCTGAACGGAACCGCGGGAAAATCAAGAGAAAACCCGATCCCCAAGCAAGAAACTACTCCTAAAACAACATACTCTCGCAGAAATCTAATTCTAAATAAACAAAAACTCATCATCCTACCTGTATACATGCACAAAGATCTCCTTTCTCCAGCACAACAGAGAATTTATATTCTCAAGAAAACTGAATTAGCCGTTAGAGGGTTCGTCCCAGCAGAAAACATCATTAATGTTAAATTTCTGCCATCAGACAAGGACCTAAACAGAGTTGTGGTAACATTCAGAGACTGGCACACAACCAAACTAGTTTCAGACAATAAGGACAAGCTACAAAGGGTTGGATTGCAGGTGACTCGCCTATTCGAAGTGTCCGGTACTCCCACTCCTCTCATCGAAACAATCAAGACTGATAAGATAAAAACAAAGCCGACAATGTCTATGACGGACGAGAACTGTAAGATGCTTCAACTAGAGGCAGACAAAGCCCCAAACCAGCTGGCTAAAAGACCAAAAACCCTATCCCCAAATCACGTACCAGATGAAAGCTCCAACATAGAGAAGGAAAACCGCTTCATAGCAAGTATTGAACAAATACATAAAGCTCAGGACGCACTAATTGAAAGATTAGCATCCATAAGGAAATCTATTACACTCCTAGCCACACCCGTCACCAGGGAATTTAACTATGCAACCTATACCACAAAACCTTTATCCAACAGTGAGTGGATACTAAGGCTATTCCTATTGCCAGAGGAACTCGGACCTACGGAACCACCTATAACAAAGAAAACAATAACACATCAAGCTGAAATAGCGGTACCACCAGGCAAGAACGGTTCAATCTTTGTGGACAACCTAGGAGCCCTAGACACCATTCACACGGACTGAAATAAGGTCACGGGGAAAGAACGCCCCTCCGGGATACTAAAATGTGTCCAAGTTCACACCGTGCCAAAATGTCCCACTACACACCCCAAAATGGACATAATGAATGATAAATCCCAAATTGGCTATAAACCTAAGCTTGATTGTCCCTTGAGATGTCTCACAACCAAAAATCACAAGCTGACCACCTGTACGTGGAACATCGCAGGGTGGGGAGCTAAAAGCAAAGATCCCAATCTAATGGACTTCCTCACTAAATTTGACATCCTGTTCATCCAGGAAACCTGGTCGATAGACGAGCTCTACCTGGATAATTACCACTCGTGTATTAAAAGAGCAACACCTAGTCAAAGAGGGGGCAGACCCAAAGGAGGCTTAGCCTTACTGTTCTCAACGCAGATACAAGCTAATATTATCCAATTACCCTCCAATGATGAATGGTCTGTAGCAGCAGTTTTAGATTTCGGACAAAGCAAACTGCTATGCATAAACTTATACTTACCTACATGTCGTCGGCAGGCACAAGCAGAACAACTATGGAAAGAAGTGGAAGCCCACGTGGTGCAATGGAGGAGACAACACCCGTCAGCCATGATATTACTAGCTGGTGACCTAAACGCAAGAGTGGCCCCTAACGACAACGCCCTATATGCACATTTTCACCAATGGCCTCCAGAAATGGAAATTATCCCACCCCTAATGATAAGATCATCCTACGATAAGACATGCAACATTGGAGGACTACATTTAGCACACATGGCCTACAGACAGAATCTACACTTACTGAATGGGGCTATACAAGGAGATTATCCTGGTCAATACACATATTGGTCAGGACACAAACTGTCAACGATAGATTATTGCATTGTTTCCCAGGACCTGATCCCTAGGATATCAAAATTCACCATTACAGCAAGAGCTGAAAGTGATCATCTACCTTTATCCCTCGTGTGTGATTTACCCTTTGATCTGCCCAAACCACAACACAGATATCAACCAGATCTAACACCGGGAACAGGCCTCAAGAAAATCAGATAGAACGGACAAGTGAGCGAGCGGATATCTAACTGGTACAAAACTGAGGAGAGCTACCGTCTCTCAAAAGCAATTATGGAAGGGTGCTTAGAAATAGAGGAGAGCGCCCCGAACATGATGACAACATATGAAATGCTTATACAAAAAATTCAAGAGTTTGTTGTAAAACCGAATTCCAAGTCTCCCCACCGTCGGAAAACTTCCAGGGAGTGGTTCGATCATGAGTGTATAACCTCCAAGAAATCATTGATCCACTCCTTCATCTGCCATAAGGATAATCCAACAGAGGATAACAGACAAAAGATGCTTGAAGCCAAAAGAAGTTACAAAAAACTTCTGACTCAAAAGAAAAGATACGCAATGAAGTTATTATGGCAGCAACTGATAGAGGCCTCCAAATCAAGTAACCCATCATTATTCTGGAGAATCGTAGCTGTACAGCCGGATAGGGGCCTATCACAACTATCCTGCTGCATATCAATGAAAGCCTGGGAAACGCACTTCCATAATCTTTACGAGGAATCTAGCGATGAGTCCTATGCACTAGACATACCGGATGATCAGAAACAGCCATGGCCAGCAGTCTCATTAACAGAGACCCATCTGCTGATTGACCAACTAAAGAACGGGAAAGCCCCCGGAATTGACTGTATACCAGTGGAACTATTTAAAACCAATGCGAACTGGTGGGCCCCCGTGCTAGCCTCTCTGTTCACATATATAGATAGAACTGCACAGATCCCATACGACTGGGGGACTTCCATCATTATTCCCATTTACAAAAAAGGCTCGAGAGACGATCCCTCCAACTATAGACCTATAAGCCTCCTGAATATAATAAGTAAATTATACGCTAAACACCTCAGCGAGAAACTGTGCGATTGGATAGAAAGAGCGAAGATCCTTGATGATGCACAGGCAGGATTTAGACAAGGGAGATCCACAATGGATCACTGCCTAATCTTACAGCACCTAGCTGAGAAATACACGTCGCACCACAATCACCACCTATTCGCAGCATTTGTAGATTTTAAAGCAGCCTTTGACTCCATCCCAAGAACTCGACTCTGGGACAAACTCAACAAATCATCCATAGACCGACGTCTGCTGCTACTAATATACAAACTGTACAACAACACACGACTTCGTATAAGATGCAGCCAAGAAGGTCAACTCTCTAATATCATTAGAACAACAAAGGGAGTTAAACAAGGATGCATTTGGGCCCCCTTTTTGTTCAACATCTATATAAACTCCCTAATAGACCATCTAAAAGGAGTGGATACACACGCCCCAAAATTAGCAGACAAAAAACTGCCTATCCTACTCTATGCAGACGATGCGGTTATATTGTCCTAGACTCAGATGGGCCTCAAAAGAGCTCTTAACAGCTTATCCCAATATTGTAGAGAAGAGAAACTAGCAGTGAACTACCGAAAAATAAAAATCATGGTTTTCTTTAACAAAAGGAAAATATACAGATGGAATTTAGACAATCAGGAGATTGAACAAGTGACATGCTTTAAATATCTAGGAGTGATATTCCAAGCATCAAGGAAGAAGACTGCCCACATAAACTACAGCTCCTTTACAGCACAAAAAAGTACAACAGCAATCCTAAGATTCCATCGTACAACGGGAGGAAATTTCATTCCTGCTACAATTAAACTATTCATTGCAAAACCAACAGCACAAATCCTATACGGCGCACCACTCGTCTCCCTCTCTAATCTAGACCCATATGAGAAGATACAATCAGGTTTCCTTAGATCACTCCTGCAAACACCTAAATGCGTCCCAAACGCCGCCCTACGACTGGAAGCGGGCCTATACAGCATTAAAGCCAAAGTATGGATAAGAACCTTATGCACTTGGCTAAGACTTAACAACTCGCCGGTTGGACTACTTTCCCTGATGCTTCTTGACAAATTCCAATCTAGCTGGTTGAAGGGCATTCTCAGAAAACTGGCCACATATGGTCTCTCCCCAGAGTATTTATTAAGTTTAGAAAGGGGAAGGGCCAAGAACATAATCAAAGAAAGACTCAGGGACATTGAAACCCAAAATGACTTTAACCAACTTCCGATAACTTATAAACTTCTATACAATTCCCAAAGGCCCCATCTAGCAAACTACAGTGGTGCCCCGCAAGACGAACGCCTCGCAAGACGAAAAACTCGCAAGACGAAAGGTTTTTTCGTTTTCGAGTTGCTTCGCAAGACGAATGTCCCTATGGGCTTGCTTCGCAAGACGAAAACGTCTTGCAAGTTTGTTTCCTTTTCGTAAAACCGTTAAAACCCAGGGTGCATTGCTGGAAGAGGTGCAGTTGCGACTTGACCTCGAGGAGCAACACATTGCACGCGGTGTGGTGGCCTTTCTGAGCTTTTTAAAGAGTTTGCTGGATTTTTGAAGCTTTTCCAAAACTTCTTTTGCAGCTGTTTGGTAAGTTAAACTTTTAAAACTTTTTTGGGTTTTTTGGATTTTGGGTTGGGGTGTTTAGAATTCAAGGACTTGGTGTTGGGGAGGGGTTTGCAAGAATCTGGGAGCTTGTGTGGTTTTTTTCTGCATTTTTATGATTTTCTGTGACCATTGGGCCATGTTTTTTTTTTTAAAAAAAAATCTGGCTTTGAATTTTTGAATTTCTGTGTGCTGGGTGGATGGGGGAACAGCTGGGGAGGGGTTTGCAAGAATCTGGGAGCTTGTTTGTTTTTTCTGCATTTTTATGATTTTCTGTGACCATTGGGCCATGTTTATTTTTTTAAAAAAAATCTGGGTTTTGAATTTCTGAATTTCTGTGTGCTGGGTGGATGGGGAACAGCTGGGGAGGGGTTTGCAAGAATCTGGGAGCTTGTGTGGTTTTTTTTGAATTTTTATGGTTTTCTGTGACCATTGGGCCATGTTGTTTTTTTTTGAAAAAAATTTCTGGGTTTTGAATTTCTGTGTGCTGGGTGGCTGGGGGAACAGCTGGGGAGGGGTTTGCAAGAATCTGGTAGCTTGTGTGGGGTTTCTTTTGCATTTTTATGGTTTTCTGTGACCATTGGGCCATGTTGTTGTTTTTTGAAAAAAATTTCTGGGTTTTGAATTTTTGAATTTCTGTGTGCTGGGTGGCTGGGGGAACAGTTGAGGAGGGGTTTGCAACAGTTGGGGAGGGGTTTGCAACAGTTGGGGAGGGGCTGGGGGAACAGTTGAGGTTTTTGAAGACTTTGGTGATTTTTAAAGCTTTCCCAAAACTTCTTTGCAGCCATTTGAGGATTTTGAAGACTTTGGTGATTTGCAGCCATTTCGTAAGTTAAACTTTTAAAACTTTTTGGGGGTTTTGGATTTTGGGTTGGGTGTTTGGAATTCAAGGACTTGGTTCTGGGTTTGAATTGCTGATTTTTTTTCTTTTTCTGAGTTTACAAAGGTAACAGCTGTGCTGCCATGGGACCCAAGAAGACTGCTGCTGCTGCGGAGGCCGGCGAGAGGAAGAAGGAGAAGGTGACGCTGGAGATGAAGAAGGAGATCATCCGGAAGCACGACGGTGGAATGCGTGTGACGGACCTCGCCAGGGAGTACGGCAGGAACCCATCGACCATCGGGACCATCCTGAAGATGAGGGAGAAGATCCTTGCGACTGATGCAGCCAAGGGAGTCACCAGGATCGTGAAGAACCGCCCAGCTGTTCTGGAGGAGGTCGAGAAGTTGCTGCTCATCTGGTTAGAAGAGAAGCAGCGTGCAGGGGACACAGTGACTGAGGCCGTCATTTGTGAGAAGGCCAAGGCCTTGCACGCAGACCTCATCCAGGAACAGCCAGGAACCTCGGCCGAGCCAGAAGTCTTCAAGGCAAGCAGAGGCTGGTTTGACCGGTTCAAGGCAAGATCCGGAATCCACAGCGTGGTCAGGCATGGAGAGGCTGCCAGTTCTGATGTTCCTGCGGCTGAAGACTTTGCCTTGGAGTTCCTGGAGGTTGTGAAGACGGAGGGCTACGTTCCACAGCAGGTCTTCAGCTGCGACGAGACCGGGCTGTTTTGGAAGAGGATGCCCAAAAGGACTTTCCTCACACAGGAGGAGGCCAAGTTGCCTGGCCACAAGCCCATGAAGGACCGTCTGACCCTGCTCTTCTGTGCCAACGCAAGCGGCGACCTGAAGATCAAGCCCCTGCTGGTGTACCACTCGGAGAACCCACGGGCCTTCAAGAAACACAAGGTCGACAAGGAGCGGCTGAGTGTCATGTGGCGATCCAACAGCAAGGCTTGGGTCACACGTGTGCTGTTTGTGGACTGGGTCAATCTTGCCTTTGGCCCTGCTGTCAAACAGTACCTGCTGGACAACGACCTGCCGCTGAGGGCTTTGCTTCTGATGGACAATGCTCCTGCTCATCCTAAAGGCCTTGAGGTGGACTTGTTGGAGGAGTTCAGCTTCATCAACATCATGTTCCTGCCGCCTAACACCACGCCACTGCTCCAGCCGATGGATCAGCAGGTCATCGCCAATTTCAAGAAACTCTACACCAAGGAGCTTTTCAGGCGATGCTTCGAGGTGACTGATTGCACCACCATCACCCTGCGGGAATTCTGGAAGGACCACTTCGACATCGTCACCTGCTTGAAGATGATCACCACGGCCTGGAACGGGATCAGCCAGAGAAATTTGAATTGCGCTTGGCGCAGCCTGTGGCCGGACTGTGTGGCACCAAGTGACTCTGATGCACCAGAGTCGACAGTGGTGCAGGACATTGTTGCCTTGGGGAGGACCATGGGCCTGGAGGTCACAGAGGAGGACGTCTGCGAGCTGGTGGAGGAGCACGACCACGAGCTGACCACCCAGGAGCTGGTTGAACTGCAGTCAGAGGTTGCGCAGGAGCAGGCCTCGCTGGAAGAGGAGGAAGCAACTGAGGAACGGCCGTCCTCCAAAGAACTGAGGGACATTTGCCAGAAGTGGAAGGAGGTGCAGGCTTTTGCAGAGCGGCACCACCCTGACAAGCACGTGGCACATGACCAAGCGAACACTTTTGATACGATGGTCATGTTGCCTCTCAGGAAGCTGCTGAAAAGGCGGATGAAGCAGCAGACCATGGACAGGTTCCTCAGCAAGAAGCAAAGAGTGGAAGAGGAACCTTCTTCGAGTGGTCCCCCAGAGTCTTAGAAAATGTAATGTACCCTTTTTTGATTTTTAAATGTTTTTCCTGTCATGTTTAGAAACTTAATTTATTGTTCCTTCAATTTTTGATATGCTCTTTAAAGTATGTGTGACTTTAAAGAGCAGTTAATAAACTCTTGTTGTACCAAATTTGGCTTTGATTGGACTTTTTTTGACCATAGGAACGCATTAATTGAATTTCAATGCATTCCTATGGGAAACTGTGCTTCGCAAGACGAAAAATTCGCTAGACGAAAAAACTCGCGGAACGAATTAATTTCGTCTTGCGAGGCACCACTGTATCTCAAAGTTCTAGACAACGCTAAACACCGATGGGCATTTTCCAGGGCCCGCTTTAACGCTCTCCCTTCAGCTCTTCTAGAGGGAAGATACAATAAAATACCGATCGAACAAAGATTATGTCCCTGTAACAGCAATGAAATCGAAACCATTGGGCATGTCATCTTATACTGCCCATTATATTGAGACTCAAGAAAAGAGCTGATCGAACCGATTCTGAGGAAAATACCTCGTAGTACAGACGACACCTATATCAGACACCTCTTAGCTGACAAAGAGCCCGAAATTAACAGGTCCGTGGCAAAGTACTGTTACATTGCAACAAGAATAAGACGAGCAATGATGTCTACAAAGGAGTTCAAACTGTAAACATCGAAGGAACGATAATAAACAGTAGCGACTCCTGAATTGAATTTTAAAAACTTAAAACTCGAAACCTGGTCATAAATATAAGCACCAATTCTCTGAATTGGCCATATTTTTACTGTTACTTGTAGCACAATACTACTCTTAATGTCATATTTTATAAATTGCTTCCTGGTCATTGACCGTATTAAAGATATTTGATTTGATTTTTGTACCTTGCTCCACCCAAAGAGGGCGCAAGTGGACCTACCAGGTCTGCATGGACTAGCTGGTAGGGTTTGGAAGCCTGCCTGCTAGACTCCTTGCCTTTTGGAGCAACCTTCTCCTTGTTCTCTGCACAAGATACACATTTCATGTGAAAGTTACAGGGTTTGATGTTCAAACCCTGAACCAATCCTGGCATCTTGGCCAGCGCTTGCCAAGACATGTGACAAAATCTTCGATGTGCATCATGAATGCATCCTGCATGAAGAACTTTATTAGTTTGTGCAACACAACAAGAATCAACATTAGACACAACAGCACCATTGTCATCATAAGTTATACAGAACAAACCATCTATAAACTTTGCATGCAAAATGTCCTCTTTGCCTTTTCTGATGACACAGACGCTCCTCTTGAAGGAAATCTCAAAGCCACGCCCACTCAGCTGTGGGACACTGAACAAATTGTCTGCAGCACCTGGAACATAAAGTACATCTTTGATGGTTGTGTGCAGACTTGCCAGTCTCATAGTCCCTTCTCCTGCGATTCACAACGTCTTTCCGTCTGCCAGGTGGATCTCACCATCTTGACGTTTGAAGGAGATAAAGAGATGCCGGTCTTTTGCCAAATGGCGGGTGCATCCAGAATCTACAATAAATCTGGCCTTGGCCTTTGGAGCAGCTTTTGCAGCAAGCAAAACCTTGTTTTCCACTGGCGTGGGCTTTTGCTGCTTGCCCCCCTGCTCATGGCCATCAAACTTGCCTTTAGCCTTTGGTGAAGCTGTGCCAGCAAACAAAGCCTTGTTTTTCCCTGGCTTGGGCTCTTCACCCCCCTTCTGCTTTGGGCCATCTGCAGGCATCTGTCTCTGTTTACCTCTGGCCTTCCGGCCTCTGCAAAGGCGATGACCTTGGTTCACACGAGAAACAGAGCTCTCAGCTGCCGACTCCTTGGCTCCCCCTGGAGGCTGGAATGCTGCCTGGGATGACATCACAGTCAGCTCCCCCTGCAGCTTGCAACCGGTGCCCTCAGCATCCCTGCATTCACCCACACTCTGAGAAACAGCCAGGACCTGCGATGCAGTCAAACTCTGGGCTGGGATGACTGGCAGATGGGCTATCTTCAAAGCATTCCACATCTTACGTGCAGTCTTGTTGCCAGCTAGCGTGTTAATGTCCTCCAGAGAGACGGACAAGACTATTACGTCTATGGCCTTCAAATTCTGGGCCCTCCATCTATCTGTCAGAGGAACTGGAGGGGCTTCAGACACAGTATGCCACACTCCAAACTGACGCAGCAAACTTTCACACCATTTTGCCCAGGTCTCATAATTGTGCCGATTTAATTTTGGGCACTCAGCAGCTTCAGAAACTTGGAAAAATTCCATTCCAGCTCTTCACTTGAGCCGTGAGCCTTATTCACTTCAGAGGCTCTTTATCTTGGCACCCATAAATCACGAAGCCTGCTTGGCTCGGCTCCCAGACCAATTAGTCGAGCCGGACATCAAAGAGACTCTGCCGCGGCAAACAGAAAAGCCTGATTTGCTTTCGCTTTTCCCACATACCTCAACGCAGTCTTTCGCAGCCTTACTCTCCTGTAAATGCCGTGAATCTGGGCCTGAAACCTGTTGTTGGGATACTGCCGGGGAGACAAAGTCCATCATGGCCCCCAAGTCACCTCCAGACGTCCATCGATCTCCCGTAGGCACGCAGTATCAGCAATTAGCGACATGAGCTCCAGAAATAGCCTGCCACATTCTCGAGCCGATGCACGCTCTATCAGCAGATAATGCACAGTGAAAGTTGCACGCAGGAGAGCATTCTTTACAAGTTTTATTCAGCGTTATGAGGGAGGTATGGCGGTGGGGGCAGATGTCATAGGCGAAGGGGATCGAGATACGGATATGCTCGTACCCCTTCCAATCTGCGCCCCATCCCGAGAGACGAGGGTAGGGTGAGCAAGGATTACTCACCTCCGTCACTGGTGTTGTGCAATGCCAGGTCTATAGGCAACAAAACCGCCACCCTGCGAGATTTCTTCATCTCGCAGGGGGTCGACCTGGCTTGTGTGATGGAGACCTGGGTGCGTGAAGGGGATACTGTTACCTTACGAGAGATGGCGCCCCCGGGTTTCTCCGTCCTCCACCAGTCGCGGACTGTGGGCCGGGGGGGAGGGGTGGCATTATTAATCCGGGAAGATTGTTCTTTCAGGGCTCTACCACCGCCATCGATCCCTGGCATTGAATGTGTTGGCCTAGTGTGGGGCTCCGAGGTGAGCTTGGCTGTCTGGCTGGTGTACCGGCCACCTAGCGCACCAGCAGCCACCCTGTCAGGCCTGCTGGAGGTGGTGGCCGGCTGGGCCTTGGAGTTCCCTAACCTATTGGTATTGGGGGACTTCAACATCCATGCTGATGCCACTCCCTCCTCACAGGCTCTGGACCTGGTGTCTTCCATGGCGACACTAGGGCTCTCCCAGTTTGTTTCGGGCCCCACACATCAAGCAGGCCACACGCTGGATTTGATCTTTGGTGTCGGTATAGATGTGATCATGTTTCCTTCGATGAAGGTGCCATGGTCTGATCACTATGCTCTGAAAGCCAGGATTGACGTTCCACCCCCACCCTGCTTAGGTGGCGAGCCGATTTGGGCTTGCCCGCAGAGGCTGATGGACCCTGATAGATTCCATCAAGCCTTGTGGGACCTTGCTCCCCCTGGCGACTCATTGACTGAGCTTGTTGAGGGCTGGAATACCCAGCTCCTGGCAGCCATCAATGAGATCGCACCTAAGCGCCCTCTGCGACCCCGCAGAAACAGGGCTCCCTGGTTTACCGAGGAGCTCCGGAAAATGAGCGGGACCTCAGACGGCTAGAGCGAGTATGGCGGGGTGCCTGTGACGGAGCCTCAAGAACATCTTATAGGGTTTTTATGAAAACCTACGAGATGGCAGTGAAGGCCGCTAAGAAGTCCTACTTCTCGGTCTCCATTGCATCCGCTAGCTCTCGCCCGGCACAATTATTTAGTATAATTCGGTCTTTAACGTCCCTCGAAGGACAGCCAAATTCAAATAACAATTTGACACACAGCTGTGAGGCATTTGCGAGCTTTTATGCGGAGAAGGTCCTGTTGCTCTGCCATGACCTCCCTGCCAATTTGGATACAATAAAGGAAGTGGAGGCCCCTCGACTGTCCTCGGGTCCACTTTGGACCACTTTGGACCACTTTGACCGGATATCCCCAGCCGATGTGGACAGACTCCTCCGAGCTGGAAAGCCCACCACTTGTCCTCTCGACCCGTGCCTGTCTTGGCTGATTAGAGCGTGTCCAGACGAGGTGCGGGCCCCCCTGGGGGATATCATCAATTTGTCCCTTGACACCGGGACATTCCCAGGGGAACTGAAGGAGGCAGTGGTGCGCCCGCTTTTAAAGAAAACATCATTAGATCCCTTAGATCTATCCAATTACCGCCCGGTTTCGAATCTTCCATTCCTGGGTAAGGTGATTGAGAGAGCGGTTGCTGAACAGCTTGGTAGGTTTCTGGATGAAACATCGGCTCTGGATCCATTCCAGTCCGGCTTCCGCGCTGGTCATGGGACCGGAGACGGCTCTGGTCGCCCTAACAGATGATCTCCACAGGCAGCTGGATCGAGGCGGGTCGGGGCTGCTGATTCTTCTAGACCTGTCAGCAGCCTTCGACATGGTCGATCACGAACTCCTGGACCACCGCCTTGCCGACGTGGGGATCCAGGGCACAGTCCTTCAATGGCTGCGCTCGTTTCTCTCTGGTCAGGGACAGAGGGTGGCGCTTGGGGGGGAATTGTCATCCCGCCACTCCTTGGTGTGTGGAGTGCCCCAGGGTGTGATACTCTCCCCGATGCTTTTTAACATCTTTATGCGCCCCCTCGCCCAGCTTGTCCGGAGTTTTGGGCTGGGCTGCCATCAGTATGCTGATGACACCCAACTCTATCTGTTGATGGATGGCCATCCTGACTCGGCCCCAGACACACTGATCAGATGCTTGGAAGCTGTGGCTGGATGGTTACGTGGGAGCCGGTTGAAGTTAAATCCTTCGAAGACAGAGGTCCTCTGGCTGGGACGGGACGATATGGGGTTGAAGGGGCAACTCCCATCTCTTGCGGGGGTGCAATTAGTGCCAGCACTGTCCGTTAAGAGTTTGGGTGTAATCTTCGATACCTCCCTCTCCATGGAGGCGCAGATTGCAGCTATAACAAAGGCGGCATTTTTCATCTCCGCCAAGCTAAGCAGTTGGCTCCTTACCTCTCTCGCCCTGACTAGCCACTGTGATCCACGCGACGGTCACCTCCAGACTGGATTATTGTAACTCGCTCTACGTGGGGCTGCCCTTGAGACTGACCCAGAAACTCCAGCGGGTGCAGAATGCCGCAGCGAGACTCCTTACAGGGTCTTCGCTGCGAGATCACATTCATCCGGTGCTATACCAGCTGCACTGGCTCCCGGTGGAGTACAGGATCAGGTTTAAGGTGCTGGTTTTAACCTTTAAAGCCCTATACGGCCTAGGACCCTTGTACCTACGGGACCGCCTCTCCTGGTATGCCCCACAGAGGAACTTACGGTCTTCAAATAAAAACATCTTGAAGGTCCCAGGCCACAGAGAGGTTAGGCTGGCCTCAACTAGAGCCAGGGCTTTTCGGCTGCGGCTCCAACCTGGTGGAGCGGCTCTGTCATAGAGACAAGGGCCCTGCAGGACTTGACATCTTTCCGCAGGGCCTGCAAGACAGAGCTGTTCCACCAGGCCTTTGGTCAGGGCGCAGCCTGACTCCCTCCTTTGGCAATCTTTACAAAACTTTAGTTTATGGTTGCCATCAATTTTGATTTTAATTAATTTTTATAATGTTTTTATAATGTTGCACTATTTTAGTGTTGTTAGCCGCCCTGAGCCCGGCTTCGGCTGGGGAGGGCGGGATATAAATAAATTTTTTTATTATTATTATTATTAGCATTGATCAGAACAAAGAAAACATGACTGCCAGCTTCAGTGTCTCCAGACACAGAGAGAACGAAAGCAAAAACACAACAGAAACATCCTGTGAAACAGGAAATACGCAGGCTGTGTGACTCACAAAGCCTGCTCCCTTTTAAGGTGGAACGGAAATATCCTAACAAAAACACCCCTTGCCAAAATTATAAACTATAAGATTCCATCCAATATATGTACTCTAGTCTTAAGTATTGAGGGGAAGGGGTCTAGTTTTTAATGATTACAGAAAGGGAAATTTTGCATTTCCTGGAATTTCATTCTGTGCATTAGCACAAAGAAGGTTCATAATGTTCAGTAAGACTTGGGATGCAGTTAGCTGCCTGAGAGTAAATAGAGAGAGAGAGAGTGAAAATGAAATGAACTGCTGAGAACAGATTTGACATTACCTTAGCCTTAATGCATATTTTTCATGCCACTTGCCAAAATACATTTTGCTTCAAACAGCAGAATTTCTTCAAAAGCAAGACGATGATCTTTTGCCCATTACAAAAAAAAAATGAAACCTACACAAATTGTTTATTTCATGCTCATGTTGCCTTGGGCTGATTAGCAAAATTAAATTTCATGCCAACCTGCCCAAGCAGTTAGTGCCCAATCAGGATCTTGATGACATGGGCTGATGGGTTGAAAATAAATTCACACAGGCTACTGAGTGCATGTCAGCCTAACATATTTACCATAATTTTTGAAGGATCCATTTTACTCTAACAGACCTCATTTTTTTTCCTTTAAAAGTCTTCAACATATGACACCACAACAAAAGTGAATGTGTTCACATACTGTACCAGAACATTGATTTCTCATAAAGTTAGTAAACAACAATATACTATTTTCTTAATTTTGGTGCAGAAGAAAAGGCATTGGTGAAGGATAGAAAAACCCCTCTACAGCAAAAAGAGGGTGAGCCCCGGCCGCGCCAGCCCTAAATAGGGCAGGCCACGCCCCCCCAGCCACCCGATTGGCTGGCTGGGTGGACGACGCGGCCGGGATTCCCCTGCTCTCGTGGGGGCTGAAACCAGCCCCCGCTCAAGTGGGGTGGGCGTGAAGCCCGCAACCCCACCTCCTGCTCAGGTTCGGAAGTGGCTTTACCACTGCTATCTGCTGCCTGCTCTCTGTTCTCTGAAGCCATGCCGCTAGGCTGCCCCTCCTCCCTCTCACATTCCAGCTCACATTCCAGTGTCCTTATCTCTCTTTGTCTGCTCTCATTCCCAGCCTCTGTCAGCTCTGGAACGAAGCTGACAGTTGGGTACAGATTATCCCATCATTGGCAGTAGCATCCTCAAAGTAGAGTGTCACTCAGGACATTTCACTTCTCCCTTGCAGCTCCCAGGCTCACCTCCTGCATTGTTCCAGAGGCTCTTCCCATTCACCTGGGGCAGATTTCTAGGGGACATAGGAGGCTGCACACGGAGAGGAGAATAAGCAAAAATAGTTCCTTCTCTCAGTCTGCCAGAATGTTGCCTTCACTGAATCAAAGGCCTTCCACAGACAGAAGAGGGACTTCCTTTTGTGATTGGCTTAAATCCAGACTTGCCTAAGTAAATAAATAACCTTGACTTTGCTTAGATAGGGTAGCATTTAAAAAGGTTTGGCTCTATCAGCTATCTGGATGAAAGACTGCTTGGAAACTTTATGCAAGACACTCTGCCTTCTTTGAAAGAAGGTCGGCATATAGATATGATAAGCAAAATACATGACTGCTGGAGATGATGAATGACCATGTCAGTATGGTTAGAGACATCTGCTTCATTGTTCTTGGATTTGAAACACCAACTATATTATTTCATTAATAGCTATCTGAATTCTTTAGGATCAGGGGTGGTGAAATTGAGGGCCGCATTCTCCTGTGGACATCCTTCTGGGGACTGTATTCCACTGGTGGGCAGGAGCAGAGGGAAGTGGGCAAAACAATCAAATGCGATTTTTACCTTTCCACAGCAGGCTCCATCTCAGCTGTGCAAGAGTCAGAAAGTTCTATACATCGATACCCCTCTCATCACCCTCTACCTGTTGATCAAAGGCAAAAGCCCTAAAGGAGAGTGGATAAGGGGGAAAGGGATGTGTTCTGAGGACAGAAGATGTGACCCACAGTGGGACATGGCCCGGGACGAGTCCCAGTGGCTTGATAGGGAAGGACAGGAGGGTCTCATTTGGCCATGGGCCTGAGGTTTCCTATCCCAGCTGCAGATACCTTGATGAAACAAGAGTGTTCACAGCAAATATGGATAGAAAGGAGAAACACAGGCGAGTTGAAAAATGATTTGGGCCCCTGAGAAGACAACCCTCATCATCTTGTACTTTAAATCTCATGACTGCCATCCAACCCGGCCCCTTTTTGGTCAATTCATCAGGCTGTTACCAGCTCCCATTCCAGGCAAAGCAAGGGTTTTAGTATGGGCCCAGCCAGATTGTTTTCAACATTCTTACTTGGTGAAGTAAATATTTCAGATAACAACATTTGCTTCAGATGCTCACTGTGATGTCAACACTATGCTTTCCTTTCATTGTGAACTTCCTATAGTATAAGCTTTTGAGAAAAGAAAAGAAAAAAGTTAAAATTGCAACCTAAATCTATGTGTTTCGGTGCTCCATTGTGGAATATCTATTAATTCATATGTATTTATTAGTAGTTTTTTTTATTATTATAAAAAACCATACTCCTGATGGACCGCAGAGTTATTTTAATGGCGACACTTCATTTTCTGTCATGTATATTCCAAACATCTAGGTTAACCAAGAAAAACCACGGGCATGGCTCAAATATGACAGGAAAACATGGTTTCCTGTTGCTACATCAGGGCAGCCAATTCAGTAGCCTCCAGATGTTGTGAAACTCAACTCTAATCATTCCT